GCCCTGCCCCCCCCCCCCCCGGCTCTAGAACTCGCTTTGTCTGCTGTGCTGCCGGTCAGGGACCCTGTTGATGTGCAAATTAAGAATTCTAATTAGAGAGCCGCCTGTCTGTTGATGTGCTGACCCCGGTCATTGTACTCCTCTGAGCCTGGTGTCTGAACTCTTGTGTGTCCAACCATCATTTTCTCCTATTCGCTCTGTTAAAGATACCATTGGAAGCTTTTTGTTGTGTAGTTTCATTAAGTGCAAACAAAAACCAGCTGATCCTGCAAGAAATCCAGCGTTTGTACTCTGCAGTGTTACCTCAGTGTAGTTGGCACTACATAACACCTCCCCACTATGGTATGGAGATGAGGAGAGGGGTAGGTAGTTCGGTATTGGTGACACACTTACGGGTCTGTTTATAATGCAGTGAATGTGATTTTCCATCAAACCTTCTCTGGTGGAGAATCCTGTAACTTTAAAACACATGAAGCTGGAAGATTCACCTGCAGAGAATATTTGTTGAATGTCAGATTCGCTGTCTTATTGCCATGCCCCTTTGTGTCCTAGGGTGACAACGCTCCTCCTCCATAGATGCAATGAGTGAACGTTGTCGCCCTAGGACAGGAAGTGTGTTACTGGTGTCCACCACCGGCTGGTCATGAAGTTCATGGCTCTGCCCTCTTACACGGCCATTGTGGGTCAGTGAGCTTGAATTCTCCATAATGAGGAAAAGCAGGCAGTGTGAGCTTCATTCTCCACGTGGACTTGGGGGCCCATTCACACTATTTTGGTGCGATAACACGCACATTTAAAGATGTAGATGGAGTGATGGATGGTAGATGGCATAGATGGAGTGATAGATGGTATAGATGGAGTGATGGATGGTAGATGGCATAGATGGGGGTGATGGATGGTAGATGGCATAGATGGGGTGGTGGATGGTAGATGGCATAGATGGGCTGCTGGATGGGGTGATGGGATGGTAGATGGCATAGATGGGGTGTCGGATGGTAGATGGCATAGATGGGGTGTCGGATGGTAGATGGCATAGATGGGGTGTCGGATGGTAGATGGCATAGATGGGGTGTCGGATGGTAGATGGCATAGATGGGGTGTCGGATGGTAGATGGCATAGATGGGGTGTCGGATGGTAGATGGCATAGATGGGGTGTCGGATGGTAGATGGCATAGATGGGGTGTCGGATGGTAGATGGCATAGATGGGGTGTCGGATGGTAGATGGCATAGATGGGGTGTCGGATGGTAGATGGCATAGATGGGGTGTCGGATGGTAGATGGCATAGATGGGGTGTCGGATGGTAGATGGCATAGATGGGGTGTCGGATGGTAGATGGCATAGATGGGGTGTCGGATGGTAGATGGCATAGATGGGGTGTCGGATGGTAGATGGCATAGATGGGGTGTCGGATGGTAGATGGCATAGATGGGGTGTCGGATGGTAGATGGCATAGATGGGGTGTCGGATGGTAGATGGCATAGATGGGGTGTCGGATGGTAGATGGCATAGATGGGGTGATGGATGGTAGATGGCATGGATGGGGTGTTGGATGGTAGATGGCATAGATGGGGTGTCGGATGGTAGATGGCATAGATGGGGTGTCGGATGGTAGATGGCATAGATGGGGTGTCGGATGGTAGATGGCATAGATGGGGTGATGGATGGTAGATGGCATAGATGGGGTGTCGGATGGTAGATGGCATAGATGGGCTGCTGGATGGGGTGATGGGATGGTAGATGGCATAGATGGGGTGTCGGATGGCATAGATGGGGTGGTGGATGGTAGATGGCATAGATGGGAGTGATGGATGGTAGATGGGGGTGATGGATGGTAGATGGCATAGATGGGGTGGTAGATGGCATAGATGGGCTGCTGGATGGGGTGATGGGATGGTAGATGGCATAGATGGGGTGTCGGATGGCATAGATGGGGTGGTGGATGGTAGATGGCATAGATGGGAGTGATGGATGGTAGATGGGGGTGATGGATGGTAGATGGCATAGATGGGGTGGTGGATGGCATAGATGGGCTGCTGGATGGGGTGATGGGATGGTAGATGGCATAGATGGGGTGTCGGATGGCATAGATGGTGTGATGGATGGTAGATGGCATAGATGGGGTGATGCATGGTAGATGGCATAGATGGGGTGTCGGATGGTAGATGGGGTGTCGGATGGTAGATGGGGTGTCGGATGGTAGATGG